GCTGGGTTTTGTGGGGTTTGTTTGGTTTCTTTGGTTTGGCAATGGGTATGGCTGGCAGGGACATGGCACCACGGGTGGGAGATAGGCCCCACTGACTGTTTTAGGTCTGTCACCACTTCTATGTATTTCTTTTGTTTATGGGTTTGTTTTGGAGGACAGGCAGTGGGTACAGGTCCTCCTCACCATTACGCTCCTCGGAGGCACTTGGCAAAGTGGGTTCATAGGATCGACGGCCTGGCATGCGGATGCGAGAGGTAGACATGTTGGTCACCTCCTCTCTGCTATTGTGTCACCTGTAGTTTATGTTTGTTTTAGTTTTTGTTAGTTTTCTACTGTGGTGAAGGTGTTGTGGGACGGTGTTCAGGCCGGGCGGTAGTGATTTGATATTTTGTTGGACGAGGAACCTGGCTGGGTTGGTCTTTTGCTCGGCTTCGGCTATGCTTAGTGCTGGTTGGCTTCATACCAGAGGAGCTACAGACTTGGACCGGGGCGGGCGCTGGGTTGTTTGATGGTCTTGTAATTAGTTTCCATGCGGGCATGACTCGGGGATGGCAGGTATGGGACCGTAGACTTAGTTAGCTTAGGATTAGTGGTATGCCGGTTAGCGGTATCCCTGTGCCAGCGGGAGCTCATCGTATGCCAGTGTTGGCGGTACGAGTTTAAATAAAATTAGATTGACTTCTAAGTACTTTTCCCGCTCATTACTTTAAAGAATATAAAACATCTTTACGATCTTTATCTTTATTGCACTGTTATTGTTACGCCAAGAAAAGTCCTTCACGAAGACGAGTTAGAGAAAGCTTACAATAGGCGTTCCTGACAGAAGACAAAGGTCTTGTACTATCGGTAACGTAGGCGGAGGCCTAGAGCTATCGTAAGACAAAGAAAGAAGAAGACAGAAAGATAAGTATCGTTCCCCGTCACCAAGAACTAACTATCCAGAGAGGGATCGTTACAGCACCCCTATTCTCAGCCATCAGCATTATCATACAATTGTCCAAGCAGCTAAATACAACTGGAAAATGACCAGATCCACCTTCAGGGATAAATATACACCAGGTATTTCTCTTTCTACTGGTAATTTCACCTGGTCCTAGGACCACTATGAGTGATCGACTATGATTGACTAACTAATATCAACAAAAATAGTGGAAGGAGTACTCAGAGAGGCCAATTTCAAGAACTGGCTTGCTGAATCAAGGCCTAGGCTCAAACCTGAGCATGTGGCTAAGGGATTGAGGTGGGCTACAATTTATAAGAATTGGACAGTAGAAGATTTTGAAGCAGTGATTCAGAGTGATAAGTGTAGTGTAGAGAAATCCAGAGATCTAAAGCAGCAATGGGTATTCAGAGAACCTGGAGAGAAGTGACTAGCTGATTATGTTCATTCAAAGGAGAAGAATCAGGGAATTTCGCTTATGGTTTTGGGGTGCTTTTGGGGTAAGAGAAAAGGTCCTTTAGTTTCTATTACTCAAAATATGAATAAGACCAGGTATGATAGGCTTTTAAGAAGGCATCTTTTTCCTGTTATTCATCAAATGATCTCTTTTGGCATGCAAGATATTCTGTTTCAGCAAGACAATTCTCCTGTTCACAAGGCTTATAGTATTATGGATTGGTTGGAGAGAAACTCTATTGAGGTGGAGGAGCATCCCCCTTATTCCCCTGATTTAAATCCAATTGAGCATGTATGGGTTGAGCTTAAAAAGCGCTTGCACCAGTAGTATCCCAGGATTGCAGATACCCCAGGAGGAAAGGAAGCTGTTAAGCAGAGGTTGGCACATGTATTACCATTGGTTTGGGAAACAATTGCTAAGGAGTTTTTTGAGAAGTTGTGGAAATCAATGCTTGATAGGGTAGCTGCAGTTCTGGAAGCAAGGGGAGGTTATACAAAGTACTAGACATTGTTATTTCTATTTCTATTATTAAATTTTAATTTATCTACTGTCATTGGGGTAGTATTGATCGTTCACTTGTTTGTTCGTTCACTCATTTTTCCGCGCGTGCACGCGCTGGCAACACAACCCCACTACCATTACCCCACCACGGCACCCTATGGCGCAATCACCAATTAAACATGTCACGGATCACGAACACTTCTGACGACTGACTGTACTTTGTGAAAGCTCTAAGCGCAATAGAGAATACCATAGAGATCGCCACGCTGCGGGCGGGCGTAAAGGCAAATAGAAAAATTGTACTAGTGGTTGGCTGATAGTCATTGCGGGTGTCGTATATCCCCCCACCTTGAAACTCTAGGGTTTCTAACCGCCATTTATAGCACGTATTATGCTTAAAACCCCAAATCCGGCAGCGAAAACAAGATATCATACTATGCAAAACAGCCATCTCTTAGATTAGTGATCCCGCACATCAATATGCTATCCAGGGACTACTTACCACTCACAGTGCCCAAAGAGCCGTCCGTGAGATGGAACAAATGTTCAAGTGTCTCAGGCGCTAGAGCTTGTAGTGGCACTCTTACCTAATAATATTATAGGGGTATGATACTCGGTTCATTGGCATTGGGTGAGGCGGGAGCTGAAGCGAAGGGAAGGACACCATCGTCCATCACTGCTCTTGCTGGCCCATCCGAGACCGGAGGGGCAGCACCCTGAGACATATTAATAATCTTCTCTCCGTCGCTAGAAATTGGGCGAGATCCCCAGAACAAAATTGAGAGGTTCGAGAAGTTGGAATATAGTTAAGGAGGCGGGAGTAAGGACCTAACCAGAAGACAGGAGAAATCATGGAGGAAATACAGCTCTCATAATGGGCGAACACATCACGGATAGCGCCGTGATCCCGGGCACGCCAGGTACGCGTTTATACTGTTCGTATACCCTGTAATCCAGGAACACGATGGGGTGTATGATACGAGCACAGTTATCATACTAGCAGCACAGGGCACTCAAGACAGGGCTCAACCACCGTGCAAACAGACGAAGTATGATATTAAAACGAGAACATCTGATTCTTTCGAACTCTGGTGAGACAGCCAATAATATTGTTCCTAGGTCATGCGCGATGACGACATCCCCATTAACTACAACTAACCGAAAAAACCCAACTTTAAACCTTAAAGTAACCAAGCCTCGGTCATCACAACTCGTTCGTTTTGCAGTTATCAAAAAAGGAAAGAAGGTAGACCACGATACTGTGCCCACACCTCAACATCTCAATTACTCTATTCTGCCTTGAGTAGGCAATGGGGCTCTACGTGGCCACGGTGCCATAATAATTTTCTGTAAATTAGTCTAATATGCCCACATACGGTATTAGTACCGTACTCGTAGCGGAGATCCGTCCTGGGCCTGATATCATGATGGATTACCGCGCCCCGAACCATATCCACACTGAGCATATCTTATCATTCAAAATCTCGGTGAACGTCTCACACGGGATACGATATCATAGCATATTTAACAAACTATTAGGTTGGACTGGATCGTATTTGACATTTTCGGCCAGGAGGGGTAAGAGGCAGCATTTTTATTGTTCTCTCAATGCTAACCTGAGCAAGTAAGACATAGTTAATGTGCCGGTAGTTAGCGTAGGTGAGAGCTGACTCCCTATAGATTAGGAATACAGTATAAGGTGAACGTCCCCACGCTTTCCAAAGGTAGTTCAAAGAAGGCATTCCTATCCATAGATACCCGGCCAAAGGAAGCTTTGATAAACCGTTAGTATCATACATCAAGGGGCGAGAGCAATCAGTACATCTGACCCAACCTCACACAATTCATCGCAAAACCGAGGCATTTCAAATGGAAAAAAGAAAGTATATTATATACGGGAACGATTAACTTTCCGGGTGTGAGATCTGATACGATTCGATAGAAAAACACCCCCCCGACGAATGGAGCACCATGACTTCAGACTCCTTCCCATCACCTCAGGCCAGCGCATAGCTCTAATACCGGTGCTCACCCCCCCCTCCCCCGCTTCAGGGAAGCCTACCGCCTCCGCGATCCATAATCGGCAATGCTTAAATTCTCAACCTCCCTTCTGCTAAAAAGAGCGGATCAGCTATACTTGTGCGTGGAGAAGGGGTTACACACAAAAAAAGTCCTTCAACTCGAAGGACTTTCATCAAATTTTCTCCGGCCTTGTGGCTGAATGTATAGCATGCTACTGCTCTAACTCACGGAAATCATCCCGAGTGACACCCTGTGATCGGATATACCCGGGAACTGAATCATATGATACGATACCAAACTCAAACCATCTATCCATCTGCCAAAATGCGATACCCCACAGCCTCCTGCATTAAGGGAAAGGAAAGGAAAGGAAAAATCAATATTCTAAGTTATTCACCTAACCTCACATCACACCAAAGCACCCAGGGCATGTAAAGTGAACCAACCAGCAGGGAAATCGGGAAGAGGAGAGAATAAAGGGCAGAAAGGTGCAAAAAGGATAATATAAAAGAGGGCGCATGCAGGTAGATTACTAGTTATCGTGGGAGAGGGAAGAAAGCACGAGCTAGACTAAAAAGGTAGTTTTCTTTTTCTTTTTCGTTTTAGAGAAAAGGGAAGACGTATCTTAGCCAGGAGACGAACGAGGAAAAGGTTGACAAGATTTATATGATAAATGCTTTCTCGATGACAATGGTACCATCCCAACGTTCGTGTAACCAAACATCCTTTTGGGATCTCTAGATATTCCGCCTCCCGCATGATGGAGGGCTTTTTTTTTTGTTCATTTTTTCATTTTTTCATATTTATATTGTAATTACCACCCCAATTCACCGAGACGAAGTTAAGCAAAAGCAAGCAAGCACATGATTCTAACAATAGCACATCCTCCTCCAGTGGGAACTCTTTTTGGAGGCAAGGAAAGGGAAAGTAAGGAGAAAGATTGAAATGACATGTAAGCGGCAGGTGGCAAAGTAAGGCAAGGGACTAAAGGGTGAAGTCGAGAGAGTAGGTAGGTACGGTAAGAGAGATTGAGACACCCTCGGGACTATTCAAACACATGAACTCGGCTCCGGTCCGTATGGAATGGATGGGTGGATGGACGGATGGAGGATAGGAATCGGGTTGGTACCATAAGTCTCTGGGCAAAGATGAGAACGCGGGAACGAGTCAAGGAGATGAAGTTGAGGATGAAGAGGAGAGTGGGGATGGGGAAAAAGAAATCATACGAGAATGGTATAGAAATAAACCGGTGAGAATTCCGCCCCCCGGCAGCCCCTTTTCCGTTAACCCGAGCAACTCCACTACCATGCCCTCCCCCACGCCCTCCCTCTATATATCTCCCTCGACAAGAGAAAGTAGTAGTAGTGGAAGTATGTACTACTCATACTCAAGATAAACAGTATGAGGTATACAAAGGGTAAAAACAACTATAGGGAAGAGATAGAAAAAGAAAGTTTTCCCACGCAAGGAGAAGGGCTAAAGGGGAAAGAGATGAAACAAGGGGGGTAAAGGATAAATGGGAAAAATAAAAATAATAGCTGCACATGGCTGAATTTGAAGAGTTTAAATATCCCATCATACGATCTCTAATCCTCAAAGAGCGTGATAGCAAGTCTTGTGGTTTGTGGAATTGGCGACTCCATGTCATATCTTTGACGAAGCGATGGTATAATGATCTCATGGGAAAAGCTCGTCGTGTAGATTTCTCACGTGGTCGTAAAGCTCTTTCGCATGTGCAGCCGATTTAAGCTACTCATAGAGTGGATTAGAGGACATCAGCAACTAGTCAAGAGATTGGGAGTACCTTTAATGTCATAGAGTCCAAGCCTCCACTTGAATTTGGGATCAAGAGAAGGAACTGGTTGCCTGTAGGTTTGTTCCCAGCATGGTCCCCAAATATCATTCCTTTGAAGATGGGCACATTAAGAATCAAGGTGTAAGTTCCATCGGTTCTCATAAGTATCCTTGCACTCTTCTTCTCCTCAGGCACAGAGGCGGACGGGGTATCATCTAATCCAAATGCGCTCGCTGAAATGGAAGATTTTGAACCTTTGGTGTTGAGTTTGAAGGTACCCTTTCCCCGTTCCTTCCAGACTTTGTTTTCTTTATCAAACGAAAAGATTTTTCCCGGACATTTGAAAACTGTGATTTCACCCTCCTCTCCAGTAGCAACTATTTCCGAGTTAGTATTGAACAGAAACCGGTAGCCATGGACAAAGGTAACAAAGTAACGAACGGGGCGACAATGTGATATGAGGGCGTTGAATAATGGACCTACTTTCTTGTTGGGTGAAGGTCTCCTTTCCGGAAGAGGCCTCCTTATGCGCCTCCAAATCTACACCACCTCCCTCCCCATTTTCATCGTCCGTCTTCTCATCATCATCGTCTGGAGCTCCAAATGGTTTTGCTGCTGTCCCACCGATAGGTCCCGAGAGCTTAGGAGCCGAGGAAATAACATCCCCAGCTTTGCCACCCAGAGATCCGAACCCAGAAGGACCATAGGAGCTTCCAAAGCCAGACGAAAATGCCGGAGGCTTTGCAGTAGTATTGCCTAAGGCGCCAAATGGACTTGGGGGGTGGGATGCAGACCCAAGGGTAGCGAAGGGGGATGCTGCTGAGCCGGACATTGCCCCGAAAGCCGACTTTTTGAATGTATCAGATGGCCCCGAGCCCCCGAACAATGGTTTAGAGCTTACAGAAGCTGTTGCGAAGGGTGATTGGGCGGACGTGTTACCGAACCCACTGCTTGCTAAAGTCTTTGGGGATACATCAGTATAAGTTGGGACAGAATGGTAGAAGCAACATTGTGATATATAAATACCTTGGATTCGGATTTTGTATCAGTTTCAGTGGAACTCATTCTGGCAACCTCTGGCTTGCCGAAGGCTTTGCCGTTAGTCAACTCATTAGATGGTGTGGGAATATCTGCACCCATTCCGGAATCCGTCTCCTCCTTTCGTTCTGCCACCATCTTTTTCCTACGGTCGGCGTCTTTGTCCTTATCATCCTCATCGAACCTGTTTCTGCTCCTCTTTCGCTCCAGTTTCCGTGGGCTAGTCATGGCTGAGCTTGCGGAATGTAAACCATCGTTATGGCCCATAATCTCGTCTTCTTCCGGATGGGTTGGTGGTGTTTTCACCCTATTGAGAGCTCTGGCAGCCTTTGCCATGTCATCGTCGGAAATTTCTCTGCTCCTCTTTCTCTCATGAACCCTATGCCTTGAATCCGTCTCTTTCCCATTCCCTTCATTCCCCATATTAACATCCTCACCAGGATCCGTTTCCTCAATGCTTCGCTTCCTTGGCCGTCGAGGTTTTTCTTCCCCCATATCTTGGTCAGTTTCGGAGACAGCAGCACTATCAGTAGCCTTCGATTCTCCATCCTCCTTTTGACTCTCACTAGCTGCTGCGGACTCGGGCCGCACATTCGCAATATAAGTTTTCTTAAGCTTTTCCCGAACTTGCTCGTTGTCACTAGACCCTGAGAGGGACCCGGAATCTTCATCATCCGCAACTTCCGACTCCTTGTGTGTGGGCTCAAGAGAGTCCATATCGTGTCCATGGATAACGCTGTTATCGTCCTTGTCGTTTTCCCGAGCAATCAACTGAAGGGGCGTTTTCGAGGGGGACTTGGCTCCCGGATCGTCCGTCGCGACTCCGCTATTCGTCATTGATGCAATATTCTAGAGGACCAGAGGGTAGGTTGTTTGTTCAAATGTGGTATAGGTAATGGCTAGTTTGTGCGTAAAAAGTGATCTATGGTGATAGCCCGCAATTGAAGTTTTGTAGTAACACTTGCCTGAATTCAGGGAAATAAATCGAGACGGATGAGGAGTGGTGCTCGTGTAGGGCCAGCAGGAGGATAAGTGTCTAAAGGGAAGGGCCAGAGAAATCTCGGGTCGCGCCTATGTCAGGTGAGAATGTGTTGCGCGTGGGTAGATGAAAGCACGAAAGAGGGGTGGATAGGAGAGGAGAGGTGGTGGTCAGTTGGTCTTGTGAAAGATAAGTAGCCGGGTGTGAGGCGGCTGAGAGGGGAGAAATGGTTGCAGTGCGTGCGGCGTTAGAGGGTAGACCAGCTTAGTTAAGAAACAGTGACGGGCACAAGGCTCCTTAAAGGCAAATTGAGTAGAGTATAGATAGTATAGAAAGTTTTGAGGGTTCTATAAGAAAATCTGTGAGCTTTTAGATATTTAGACCTATTCTTTCGATAACAATCAATGTTCTCTCGAGACTTGGCAGACACATACTCTAGGGTACGATAGTGAGATTCTTGACTTCTCCTTTTCCTCTTTCCAATTTTCCTTCGTCTTTCCTTTTCTACCGTCCGGGATTTCCCTAACAGCTCCAGGGTGAGCAACCTGAAGGACTTGTGGGGCGAAATGAGTTGCCGGACGCAATTGTGGGGAAAGTCGGGCACGTACAACGTAGGCTACGGCAGCAGAGCAGGCGTTGGCAAGCGGACAGAGGGATAATGAAAAGAATAGACTACTCGAGTAGAAACAGAGGGGTCTGATGGGCTTACAGTATTTGGTTGGCACTCTTGGAGCAACTCAAATTTCTGAATTTTGATTTGGGGTCGAGGAAGCCTGGCTGACCGACTGGGGGGGGGGGGAGTGGGAATGAGGGAAATGGAATGACGAACGAGACCAGGCAAGTGGATACAGACAGGCACCAAGAGACAGACAGAGGACACCGAGACTGCGGAAGGTAAATAGACGAAGGGGTGGGTTGGTTAGAGAAGTCTGGCGGCGGTCGACCGCGTGCAAGCGACAACCCGAGACCATAATTTACAATTCTGAGCGGTACTGTGCTGTACGGAACTGAACCAAAGATTGAGCGACTTGAAATAGGATGCCTGTCATGTCTTCGGTTACCTTGTTGACCATTCAATACCAGCCGATAGAGCCGCGGGTCACCATACGGTGCTGGTGTCTCTGGGTCAATTGATTTATCCTGAATATCACTCATTTTGGCTGTTCTCTTGCTCGAGCACAGCACGAGCGCTGTGCTTGAGCAGACAACCGCACTGTACTCGTACAGTACCTCAGCTCCTTGCAAGGCTTTCGGTCAACTGGTTGAGCTCTCTGGTGGTGTGAGTTGGCGCTCTGGAAGCGGGCATAAATAATCCCTGGCGGGATGGCTTTTTTTGTCGAGCAGTCGGCCATACTCTTGTCCTGTGGGTATAATGGGCCAACTCACTTGTACTGTATTTAACCTCTTGTGTACGGTGCCATTAAACAATTGAAGAAGGGAAAGGATTTAATCTCTCACTATTCCAGTTACCACTACAACGCCATAAACCCTACAAGGACGAACAAATAGCCGGGTTTAATGGGCAACGTGGTATTGTAAGGGAACAGCAAAAGTTACTGTAGGCATCATGAGGGGTGTGCACAAAACGTGGTGGTGGTGGTGGTGGCGCTTTGAGAATCGATAAAAACCCAGTCCCTAGGGGTTCAGTTCACAGGAACCTACGAGTACCGGTACCATACGGTACGTTAAAGTATCATAATTGGTTATTACGGGGACGGGAGATTCGTTCAACAAATTTGTCAATATTGAATGAAACATGATTTACATGATTTTGCTCATTCTCGCTCTCCTCCAATCGCCTTGTCCTTGTTTCCTCTTTTGTCCTTTGGGGACCCAGCAGGGCACCTGTAACCTGAAGGGCATTGCACATGGGATTTGCACTATAAATTGCCGCGCAGTCCAGTACTCGTCCAGTACTCGTACATCACTTTCACCAAAAACTCGTTGGGCATCCACAATCACGCCCCTGCAAGATCCGTTGCTCGATGGCCCATACACCGCCTCGTCTGCCACACCGCTCAGAAGCCCCACAACCGTAATACGTGTATAATGGCTACGGCACCGGTACTCGAATGGCTTTATGAGCGCCTCATAGTAGTGCTTTGCAGAGAGACCATGACATTATGTTACTACAAAGCTACTGGTATCTAAAAGCTCATAAAAGCTGAAGCCGCCCCACCACACACACTTGGGGGGTTACTCCCGTGTGTGAGCCTAATTTCCAATTGTTCAGATGGATGTTGTACAACACCACTTGGCATACGGTAGTTCACTTGCAGTGCTTGAATGATGGATGATAAGACAACAGCAAAACATTTTGTTTTGTTCATTTATCGTTCTCCGGTTTGGTTCATTCGGCTTTTCCGCGAGACAGGAACCACTTCAGACTCCCCTTCACATCCACATCTCTTAATCCTCTCCCAATCAGAACCAGCTTTCCTTCACCTTCCGCTGTTAGGTTCTGATCCGGCGCATCAAATATCTCAAAGGTTTCTCGTACGCCCTGTATTAGCAGGACATTTCCCGTTTTCGTGATAGCCCTCCCTTTCAATCTGTGGATATCGAGAATCGGTTGTTCGTTCGAGTGTCCTGAGACCTGATCGCCCGCTTTTTTCGACGGACTCGGAACTTCCGCTTCCCATAATAAAGACCTAATCCAAGCATCCAAGGAATCCAACATCTCTCCATCTAGTTCGGGGAGCTCAAGAGAAACAGTTGAAATTGTCTTGAAATTTTTTAATACAAGTTAGCGGGGCTTCCAAACGAGGCTAATAAAGCAGGTAATGATCGACACACCTCATCTAACCGAGTTTTAATTGGTATTTTCAACTCCCCAACATTTTCGTAGGCCTTCAAATCCAAGAGCCATTCACCAAGATTATCTACCTTACCCCTCTCCGTGACAATAATTCTTGCTAATCCGTTCATGCCCGCTATCCTCTGCTCAACGATCTCCATCTCTTCCCGAGTAACTAGGTCTGCCTTGTTTATCACCACCACATCCGCGTGAGAGATCTGTAAGTGTGCAGTAGTCATCCCAACACCCGCTTCATCATCTTTCGAGAATTCCTGCTGGTCTTCGAGGGTACGAATAATATTTGCTGCATCGACAAGGGTAATAATTCCATCTAAAAATATCGTTGATTTAAGGCCTTCGTCTAGCCAAAACATAGGCGCTATATTTCCAGGGTCTGCGAGCCCAGTCGTTTCTAGAAGGATGTAATCAAACTTGCCCCGGCGTTCCATAAGTTTTTCGATGGCCGCTACCCCTATGTCCCTACAACCTAAAGTTGGCAAACAGAGACCATTGAGGAGGCAGGGGTAAAGCCTACTTTACTGAGCAGCAAATACCTGTATTATGCCTCAGATGCCATGTTCAGAGGATGGATAAGGGGAAATTTTCGGTGTGCTTACAGCCATTTGCTAGCTCCAGCCATTCTTCAACTTGCTGACCATCTCTCTGGATGGTTAACGATTTTTCGATATCGCTTGCTATTCAAAACCGCCCAGTCAAATTGTCTTCATCATTAACAAAATATTCCAAGCTTGACCCGCAACGGAAGGGTTTCTGTCGGGCATTAGGGGATGAGCTCACAGTTTCCAAATTCTAAACAAGTAATATTAGCAAACACACTAAATAAGGTAGGGCAGCACAGTGGAGTAACTAAATCAGTGAATGAGAAACTACCCACCGTTTAAAATGACTGCGATCTTCTTTGAATGTTGCTCAGTAAGGATATAGTTTAAGAGGGTAGTTTCTGTCACAATTAGCATGAGCAGACAAAGTCTCAGGATATAGGGGAGAGGTTTCACACGCACTCCCAGCTCCCAAGTATCCCGTGACAATTGTTATCGGTGCCTTTGATAGCTGAAGGTCTTCGAGGCTGAGGAGAGTTTCAGTCGAAACTAGAGCTGGGGGCTCCTCATCGTCAAGGTCAAGGTGATCGGAGCTCATTTCTGTGATATGTTGGAGTGAGATGGTGCTGTGTCGAGGCTGGTCTCAGGGATTAAGTTAGGAGTAAATATTGTTGCAATTGCCAGTTGGGGCTGCAGTTAAGCAGTCGGAGTGCATGGTGGGGTACTATACGATATCTCGCACTTACCGTAAACGAATTGAATTTGTGGGGGATAAATAGGGAGAAGAGGGAGCTGACCCCTCCATGCATTACGGTCTTGGCAAATGGCTGGCGAATGAGGGGCAACATGAAAAACATCACAAACTCTTCGTTGATGCAGAGGTGTCCCAGGAGTACTTTAGACTACTAGTATGATACTCAAGTACCGGTATGATCATCGAGCACTCTCTGCCCCTCCGGGTCTATCAAGAACTCGAGGGTAACATACTGCAACCACGGTACATATGGTACCATAATCTGTAACTCACGTAACCTGTCTAGGTTAGGCCTATTTTTTATTTTTATTTTCTTGCAGAGGAGGGGATTAGAGTCATAACTTGAACCCTCTTGACCATAACCTGCGGCCCCACTTGCCATCTCCGAGTTTGTGGAATTATATCGCTCACAACTTCCCCTCCTTCTCCCGCTCTCTCCTCCGCTCCTCTTCTCTCATCTGATACCCCCCTGCCCCCTCCCCCTCATCATTTATATCCCTTGTGCACATCCCTCATCTGGTGGCTGCAGCAAACTTCTTCGATCCCTACGACACATTTCGCCCTCACCATCATGCCTTCTGTTCAGGAGAAAGGACCCACAACACTTTACGACAAGATATACGCCCATCATCTTGTCGATGGTCAGACAATTTATATTGATAGGTATTGATCTGCATTTCCGGCGAACAAGGAAATAAACTAATATTCTTTGCGCTTGAAGACACCTCGTTCACGAAGTCACATCACCTGTTAGTTTTTAATATTCATTTTTACGTTTTTTCTTTTTTCCTTCCTTGAATTGCGCATAGCTAACGATTACTGCAATGTGTAGCAAGCCTTCGAAGGGCTGAGAAACGCGGGAAGGATTGTTAGGAGACCTGATTGCACTTTGGCTACTGTCGACCATGTACGTTGATGCCAATCATCTTGTCAGTTATGCCTCTCAGTCTTGGTTCACTGACTTTGGTAAAGAACATTCCGACATCAAGCCGCGCAAACTATAAAAACGCAAAGACCTTTATTGAAGAAGAGGACTCCCGCATACAATGTTTAACACTCGAGGATAACGTTAAAGCATTTGGCTTGACCTATTTTGGCCTCGGTGATAGTCGCCAAGGTATCGTCCATATTGTTGGTCCGGAGCAGGGCTTCACTCTTCCGGGCTCTACGGTTGTGTGTGGTGATTCTCACACTTCAACACACGGTGCTTTCGGTGCTCTCGCTTTCGGTATTGGGACTTCTGAGGTCGAACATGTTCTTGCTACTCAAACCCTTATCAACAAAAAGTCGAAGAATATGAAAATTGAAGTCAATGGTGCGCTTCTACCTGGTGTCACTAGCAAGGATATCATTCTGCACATCATTGGGAAGATTGGTACTGCGGGTGGAACTGGCGCAGTGATTGAGTTCACCGGGTCTACGATTAGGTCGCTGAGTATGGAAGCGAGAATGTCCATGTGCAATATGTCGATCGAGGGTGGTGCTAGGGCAGGATTGATTGCGCCGGACGAAACGACTTTCGAATACCTTAAAGGAAAGCCTCTTGCTCCTAAATACGAATCGCCGGAATGGAATAGCGCGTTGAAGTACTGGAGAACCCTCAAGTCTGATCCCGACGCTGTGTGGGATATTGAAGTCTATGTTGATGCTAGGGATGTTGTGCCAACCGTCTCGTGGGGCACATCTCCTCAAGACGTTGTTCCCATCACTGGCAAGGTTCCGGACCCTTCCGAATTCGGTGATTCTGTCGCTAGACAGCGTGTTGTCCGTGCATTGGAATACATGGGTTTGGCGCCTAATACTCCTATGCAAGAAATTACCGTAGACAAGGTCTTCATTGGTTCTTGTACCAATTCTCGCATTGAGGATCTTCGTGCGGCGGCGAAAGTTGTGAAGGGAAGGAGGATCGCGCCCAATATTATGAGAGCAATGGTCGTTCCTGGTTCTGGGCTTATCAAGAAACAGGCGGAGAGGGAAGGATTGGACAAGGTTTTCCTTGATGCTGGTTTCGAGTGGAGAGAAGCTGGGTGTAGCATGTGTTTAGGCATGAACCCGGATATTCTGTCTCCGCAGGAACGCTGCGCTAGCACAAGCAACCGTAACTTCGAGGGTAGACAGGGCGCGGGTGGTCGTACTCATTTGATGTCTCCAGCAATGGCGGCTTCGGCAGCAATTTCAGGAAAATTGGCAGATGTGAGGGGGTTTACTTTTGGAGCTGCCGAACCTGAGGGGGCAGGGGGCGTGCCTAAGACCATAATTGAGGCAGAGCATCCGGACCCAGTTACCGATGAGGATATGGATAGAATCGATGATATTCCAATTGACGAGGAAGCTTCCAACGCCGATGCTGCAGCTCGCGAGGATACTTCGAGTGCTTCCGCCGTGGGAGTTGGCATCCCAAAGTTTCTCACCTTGAAGGGTATTGCGGCTCCTCTCCCAATGGCGAACATCGACACCGACGCTATTATCCCCAAACAGTTTCTTAAAACTATCAAACGAACCGGTCTGGGATCTGCTCTATTCTTCGCTCTCCGATTCAACCCCGACGGAACCGAAAATCCAAACTTTGTTCTCAACAAGGAGCCATACCGTAACACTAAGATTCTTGTCGTCACCGGCCCAAACTTCGGATGTGGTAGCAGCAGAGAGCATGCTCCATGGGCTCTCCTTGATTTCGGTATTAAATGTATTATCGCCCCATCATTTGCCGACATCTTTTTCAATAATACGTTTAAGAATGGAATGCTTCCCATCGCCATCGATGACTCGGCAGCCCTGGATAAGATTGCTCGGGTGGCCGAGATGGGAAAAGAAGTTGAGGTCGATTTGCCCAATCAAGTTATCAAGGACGGCGATGGAAATGAGTTGGCCAAGTTTGATGTGGAGGAATTCCCTAAGCATTGCTTGGTTAATGGGCTTGATGATATCGGATTGACTCTGTTGATTGATGATAAGATCAAGGAGTTTGAGAAGAAGCGAACACTCGAGTACCCTTGGCTGGATGGAAGTGGGTATTTGGCTAGGCGTAAGAGGGGCAATGGGCCAGTTAAAATTACAGCGGCTAAAGTTCCGACTACCAATCGGGGGTTCGAGAAGGAGATCACTGAGTGGTGAATGCTATACTGATGATGTGGCGAGATTTCATCAGCAATTTTTTTTTTAGTGTTTCAACCCAGGGGTCCCAGTTTGTAAACCGGAGGTTTTGCAAAGTGATTCGTGAAACAATAATACTTGTGATATGATATGATAGTGATATTCTGTGACCATGTTACCGTGCCTATCTCGATCTAATTTATTATCCTAGTACCACTGAGCTGGTATACGACCAACCATGATACCAGTACAATGCTCAGAAATCTGAATGCCAGGTGATAGGCCTAGGCAGTGCGCAAGTGACTTGTATCGTGTGTATCATACTATCATATCATACCCGTATCGTAGCTTACCGCTACTTGTGTCGCTGGAAGAGGCGGGAGTTACCGGGATCGTGGTGGCAGAGGTGACATTCCAATATCTGCATTCCTGATAATCGATAGCCACGCTTTTGTCCTTAAAGTGACATTTCCAGACCTCGCCATGTGGTTTTCCAATTTTGTTACATTCTATACAACCTCCCTCCACGCCGGGTTTCCAGATTTAAGGATAACCAGGTTGTTTTGGGCTGTGAGGATTCAACCTCAAGCAGAGGATACGTCAAAGAGTACTGGCATTACCAGCACATCACTGCCCAAGTGAGTTAAGGGGTGCCTAGTTCTCTTTTAATTCTTATTTAGGGACTAGTTTACTCCATCCCGGGGCATCAAGTTTATCATTATCGCCCATCACCATAGTTTTGACGATTAGGTGTAGGCTGGGAGATGTGTATCACGGCGCGAGTTCGCAGACAGATTAATAGTGCCATAGGGTTGAATTATCCCTCACGATGTATAGGATTGCAGTATTCCTAAAGGTGTATATCCCGGACTTAACATACTGGTAGGCTTAGGAAGCTAACAGACAAATCCAGGTTTTGATTTATACTTGTCCTGTGCAGCAGGAAAAAGGGCGACGCAACCTAGGAGCTCTCCACGCGTATAATATATCAAAGATACAAACCTCCCAGCCTTTCTCCTGCTTCAATCATTTGACGGCTCCCCTATTCCTCAACTTTCCTATCCGCCACCTTTACATTCCAGTTTTATCGGCGCCTTATGGTAGTCTTATTGTATTCCTATTCAGTATCCAACCTGCCGTTATTATTATACCCAGCCATCCCTTGCTAGGGGCCTCACGATGGAGCCCCCTCCACATTCCAACTCTCCATTCTTGTCCCAGCTGGGTTTTAGAAAACCCCTACCACCGCCTCTCCCGCCTATCCCTATTCCTGGCTACGATGGGATCATGAGTGATGACCCCATGGCAATCGTATTTAACCTTGATCCCCGCCTTCAGGGAAACCATTCGTCAAACCCTCTCCCGATGCCACCACGCAAGAATATGATGAACCGATTTCAAGAGACAAAGTTTTTCAATAGCATTCGGGCTAGACTCAACAAGCTCGATGAAGACACAAGGGCTCTGGGCTCTTTCAAACCTCAAAAAAAAAAACAGAAGGAGGGAGAGGGGACTCCGTTAGTCGTTAGAAGGAGATCTGGGTCTTTGGTTCCGGGAATTGGCTCCATCCCCAATTCTGACATTTCGACACCTTTACCTCCGCCATTGCCTGTTAAGAACGAGGACAGATTGCCCAAACATTCGAACGTGTTTACTGGGGTACCCACCCCGACTGAGACCGCGGCCAACTCTCGAAACCACTCTTCGGCCAACAGTGTCGACGCTGGTAGCGGGTCCAAATCGCCAAATACGACTAGGAAAGTCCGGAGATTGCCCAGCTTAGAGGCTTCGTTGAAGGAATATTGCTATATCGAGGAGCCTAAGGAGAAGAACGAGCTGGCAAAAATGCCTTCGGCCAAGGAGCCACAGCCTTTCACGAATCCCGGAAAGACTGCCGGGGAAGTCGAATCTCTGGAGAATGATGCTACTCCCCCGAAGGCAAAGGGAAAAGGGTCTTTTTTAGGGGTGGGCGGCCCGGAAGTTGGAGGTCCTGGAAGCTGCCAAAGTCAGCCGTGGAAAAACTATGTCTCCCAGAGAAACCCCCAACAGCAGCGTCAGCGCCTGCCGGGCCAAAGTCCTCTCAGGGCTCTAAAAGGGTTCAGCCAGAACCGTCAAACTCGAACCCAAGGTCTCATCGAAGAGCTTCCAGGACAGGGTCAGATATTTATACCATCAGTATCCCAACGGCTACACTCATGGAAACCAGAAGGAGAAGTGAGGACTATGCGAGAGCGGCTACGCACCTCCACCTCCACCTCCACATCCCCTCTTCTCAAATACATGCGCCCTCCCATCGGCGGAGCACTTGCTCCCAACCCCGAATTCACGCTTCCATTCCTTCGGAGCGCGACCATTTCGTCGGACGAGCTCCCGCGGTTCAGCAAAGAGTCACCGGGGCCGCTCCACCCCCGTCAAGATTCAGAACTCTTTCTGCAACCCACGAAAGTCCCAAGCACACCAGGGGGCTCCACGCCAGGTTCCCCGCCCATGAGAATTGAGAGTGTCGGAATCCCAGAACTTGAGGCTGTATTGGGTGCGGGGATTTCTGCGGGCTGGGATGCCAACCTACATGATCCTTCTATATACGCCCGTCCTAAAATCCCGAGAAGAAATGCACTAATCCTGTCGAGTGACCCAGGGTCTCTCACAGGGGTTTTTATCGATCATCAAGGATCAACAGGATTTGAAAGTGGTTATGCCGCGCAAATGCCGCCGACGCCGCCCAGAAGTTCATATTCTCCAAGTGTCGGGAGATCAGTTGACGGTGACCGCCACGATCAGGGCAGAGAAAGCGTTTCAGGAGGCGAACACGCAAAGGCCATTCTCGGAAGAGCTGGTAGCAATCTCCAAGTACATCCCCTCAGCAAGGGTATGAGTGGGTTTGTGCCCTTTTTGCATCAAATCCGCGAGGTTATGATTTCGAGGGATGAGTCTCTCTCTCTGATGAATATTTGGCATATTTTGCTCATGGGATGGGTAATGTGGGCGCTCGCAAAGCTCCTGGGAATCGGCATCGAGTTAGTGCGAGTTGTGATCCTAGAGCCAAGTAGGATACTTTGTTATGCTCTTAAACGTTGGTTAAGTGGATAGGTGGCGACAGTTGCTCTCGGAATCCCCCCATTCTCCGTTCCAGAGGGTTCACGTATGCTGGGCGATTATATTGTAGTTTAGAGAATGGGGAGGTTGGACTGGAGCTTGTCTGGTGATTAAGAATACGAATTTTCGATTGAAAAGATCTCGCCGTCTTTAAGTGGTGCTTGGATTATAATAATTCTCTCTATTTGAGAATAACAGGGCTAGAGAACGTAAGTAACACAAAACCAAAAAGAAAAACTAGGGGCTTTTTGAGCCAGAAAGAGAGGGCTCTTTCACTTGGTATCTTGCACTCGAGTACGATAGTACAGCAAGGCACCGGAGGTGACCAATTTCCAGGCAGCTCATGATGAAACAAAGCTCGATTCCCCCCCTTTGCACGTGCACCAAGCCAACAATTACCGAGTGACGTCTCATGACACAGCGTGTGTGGAACCCGCCATCCACGCTACGAATCCGATCCCATTCCACGCCACAACACTCGCGCGGGCGAGCAAGGCTTACCACCGTTACAAGCTTCACACGCAGATATCCATTCACTGCCACCCTTGCCCCCTGCCGCGCCCGCCTGGTCTCACAGCCAGGCACGACAGTACCATACTCGCTTTCAGCACAACGACCAATTTGTCCTGGAGACGTTAAATTAATACCTTGACGACCTTGTCGATTGCGCGGTGCTATACCGTAAAGCAAATAAATAATATATATATATAAATCGGTTCGCTTCGATGCGCAGTACTCTAATCACGAACAGGTATCGTACAGTACTGTTTGATACTGTATTATAATGATGAATGGTCGGTCGAGGGGAAAAGAGTGCGTGGGACCCTTCACGACAAGGTGAAGGTACAACTCACTGGATCTTTCGTTGGCTTCGGCCCCCCCACCCCCCCCTTTTTTTTTTCCCATTATCCGGGTTGCAGAGCCCGTGATGGTCGCAACGCGGTTTTTCAGGAAGCGGTAGTGAGTAAATAGTGAGTGAGATTGTTAATATGTATGATAAATGGGGGTGGTGTGACTCTATAGATAGATAGATATCGTACAGTTACTCGAGCAATGAGGGTAAGATAATGAACCAATGGGCGTGTTGTGACTGCTCTATACTTTCGCAAACGAAGTCATAGCACCCTAACCGTTCATGTCCCCAGCACCCGCCCGCTGTATCTACCTCATTCCTGAACACCTTTATCAATCAAATTCATAATCTCATAGTCTCGTAAAGACTTCGTCATTTCCAATATATATACCCCCCCCACCACCACCACCACTTATATAGCTCCACCCTTCTCCTTCTCCAAAGACGCCGCCCCTCCCTTCTCCATCCGGCCCTTCTCCCCGCCGTCGCCGAGGAATCCCCCGTCGCTACTGTCACCGCTCCTCTCCGGAACACCAAATAGTCTATCCATGTCCTCGAGCGTGAGGCCTTTCGTCTCCGGGACGAAGAGGAAGGCCCATATGCCCATTAGAATCATCAGCGATCCGAAGAAAAAGTACGTGCCGTAGCCGAGGGAGGTGATCATGTAGGGTGTCGTGCGCGAAACGACGAAGGACCAGAACCATTGGTCGGCGGTAGTAATTGCTACGCTGATGGGGCGTTAGCGAGCGCTAGGGGTAATGGATGGGGGGGGGGTACCAGATCATGCGGATTCCGATTGGGAAAATTTCGGAACTAGGGAAGAGGTTAGTCCATACTAGAATGGATTCTCTTGAGGGAGTCGGGGAGGGTACCAGTAGACCCAGGTAATTCCTTGCCACGACATGCAGTAAATCTGTACACATGATCGTCAGCACGAGCCCATACTTCCAATCTGTGTTCGGGGAGATCAGTACAAATCCGTAAAGATACACGCAAACCATCGCCAAATATCCCCACCCATTCCTAGAATACTGCCCAGCCGCCGCAGCCTTTGCCGGGTCCGCCCTCATGACATAGCCACCGATATACCACCTTTATAATTATGTACTCATCAGAATCGGCATCACATTAAATCACTCGAGCGGGAAAACATACATGGGTAAACTGCCGATGAAAGCGCCGTAGATAAGACCCTTGCGACGACCAAGGCGCTCAGCGAGCCAGACGGAGAATACAATCATCCCGAGGGTCTTTGCGACGCCGTAGAAGCCGGTTGCGAAAAGCTTTGTCGAAGTACCTGTTATACCGAGGGTTTCGAAGATGCGGGGGGAGTAGTATGTTATGATCTGTCATGCGGTCGTTAGTGAGAGGCTTAGGAGGGATATGTGGGGGGTGAGGAAGCAGACGTTGACGCCAGTAAGATTCTGGCAAGCCATAAGAATGAGGCCGATTCCAATCCTGTTTCTATTCCCCTTGGAGCACATTTCCTTGACCCTGTAACGCATCAGCAACCTTCAGCCCTCATTCCCGCTGGGAAAGATGGGACAAATACTCACTTCCCCTTAAACGTCTCCGCCCCGCCCTTCGAAGCTTCAAACTCGATCTGCTCCTTGATTCCCGCCAACTCCTCCTTTATGAATTCGTGGTCCCTCGGCAGTGTGCGGAGGAGGGTCAGATTGATACTCGCCTGGTCCCAATCGTCCTGCTGGCAAAGCCAGCGAGGGGATTCGGGGGCTATGAGGGACGCGGCAAAGAGGAGGGCGCCGGGGACTAGTTGCAGGGAGGTTGGGACAAGCCATTGGGTCGGGCCGATGGGGTTGACGGTCCGGTCTACTATGTAGTTTATCCAGAAGCCCTGTGAAAGACTTAGAAAGGGGGGAGCAAATGCGGAGGGATCTCGGGAGAACGAACAAGCATGCCACCGCCCTGACTCAAGATTTCGAATATACCGACTAGACGGCCGCGAATACTCGGTGGGGAGGTTTCAGCGATATACACAGCTTTTTTCATGCATCAGTTACCTCGCATAATCGAATCCTTAAACTGGACGGTGAGCACTCACGAACGATAAGGGAGGCGCATCCAATCCCTAGCCCGGTGATCGCCCTCCCGGCATAAATCATGGATAACCTTCCGTCAGAGGTAGTCTAGCACTCCGGCGAGTGAGCTCCCATGCTCCATCCTCTCTTCCCTCTTCTATATCACCACCAGGCCACCAGCGAAAGAGCGGACAAACCATTATCACAGCGCCAATACAGAACACGATCGAAGATAATACCATACCCTTCTTACGCCCGTACCTTTCCGCAATGGGGAAGGTCAGAAGGGAGCCGAAGAAGGTTCCGGCTTGGAATGTTGACACGATGTTTCCTGTGTTGGATTAGTTTTTTTTCTTTTCCTCTTTCTTTTCCCCCCCACATATTCGGAGGGGGGGCCCACCGGCAAGAGTATCACGAACATGTTGGCCTTCAACATTGAGGCCAAAGTCGCGCTTGAAAGGAGATGTGGATATGAGCGTAGTTCGACAAGTCATTCACAGAGCAGGCAGCACAGCGCAGGATAATGTGCGACATAGGTATGATATCATACCTTGAAGGACACCAAAGCTTGTGTTCCACCGATGAAGCTCGAATCATACCCGACTGCACACCCAAGCATCAGTTGCAGCAACTACCGTGGAAAGAAGGAGAACAAGGAGGACATACTAGCCATAGCACTCATCGAGACCGCGACAGCTACACATCATACCAGCAATCATCAGCACAGTCCTCCTTACCTCCCGGAGCGCATAACGCGAGCGAACAAACCCAAAAGATGAATTCTCCAATTCCGAACCTCCTTCGGATCGTTCGTTCCACTAGCATGTAGCCCCATCTTTCTCCCTCTCCTCTCTCTCCTTATTATTCTTCCCCGTAGTCGTGTATTATGGCACCGTCTTTCGCAAAAAAAAACCAACTATGATACTTAATCAAAGCACCGAAGGGGGGGAAGAAGGATAGAGAGATATCAAGACAGGGATAATGATGATGATAGTGAAGGTGCACGCCCATCCCCACTCTTATGTTCCTGCGAACACTGTACCAATTTCCTAAATTTTCCCTCTACCCGACGGTTGTCTGCCGATGGGGGAAGATAGGCAGGCAGGTAGGCAAGCGTTACCGATGCTACACATGACGAATACGGAGAGATCGACCCGAATCACCCCCCCCCCGTTAGAGTAATACTATGTTATAATTAATTTTCCCCGATACTACTCGAGTACAAGTACAGTACTTGTACTCGAGTAGAGAAGATTTGAAGAAAAGCTCTTGGCCAAACCAATTACCAAGAAAGCGAGTAATCGCGTGGGACACCCCAAAAACAAGAAAGAAATAATACAGTATATGATCCACAACGGCCCCAATTCCGCCCCCAACCGCATCGCATCCCAATTCGTCCATATCAAGCAAGTGAGCAAGTCAACCTCCCCTTGCCATCCCCCCAAGTCCGGTAACTTCCTACGAGTACTGTAATACCGGTTGTACAGAATACTCGCATAAAGCTATCGCATCCCGCAGATAGATTGGATGGAGGAAGGTGAAAGCCCCGACGCAGCCTCCGCCTTTGCTCCATCGTGGCGTGGATGAAACTCGGCAGGTGGGTAACCAAGACATGGGGGTGGGGGGAGGGAGAGATATGGGAACGGTGAGGGGTCCGTTGATTCCACCCCACTCTTTTAACAGGTACTCTGCAAGGACCGGTATGGATATGATAGAGTGGGATTATCGGGTACTCGTATTATACCGGTAACAGCATTTTAGCCGCGATCGTGAAAGTGATTGTATGAATAGGGATACCCTACCAGAACAGTACAGTATATAGTATTCGAGTACGGCACCGGTAGTCAGGCAGGCGTTCCAGTCCGAGCAATTGTAGGTTGTTGGAGCGCCTGGGCATGTAATGCATAGTTGCGCCTTCAACACATGGCCCAAGCCGAAGATAGCCAACGATCCCATGCTAAGAGTACAGGGGGATAACGTGAGCGAATATCATACACAACTCATGGAAGTCTGAAGTGGGGGAAAATTCACGGTGCGATTCCAGGTGCAGTACCGTAGTCTACGCATGTTAGACTCGAAAAGTGAGAAAGAAGAGAAGAGAAGAAGAAAAGAAATAATGTACATTGCACAGTCCGAGCTATGACAACATATCATAATACTATTGTTATCAATATCAAGGACAAAGTCCCCAATCGAGAGCAGGATTCTGTCCGGAACGGGGAAAGAGACTTCGATAGAGTACCGGTACTATAATAATATTATTATGATGGCTGGGGGGCAAAATGGTTGGATGGGTGGATAGATAGATAGATAGTGATTTCGACGAATGTGCCGAGGTTCGACGGACTAATGCTCACATCCCAAGTAAATTATGGTGCTTCATATCCGGGTATAGTACAGTAGATACAGTACACCACGTGGGTACCATACGACACTCCAACCAATGCAAGCCAGCAGGCAGGCAGGCGAGTAGCCAAAGGCTTACTACGAGTACTATGGTCTAGAGAAAGCGGGGGTGCTTCCTTCCTTCCCCCCACTACCGCCACCGCCACCATCATCCATCATACAAATCCCAATCTAAACCCCCCCCAAGCAAACCTCCCCGTCAGTAAGCACCCCACCTCCGCCCAGCACAGTACAATATAGGAGTTCTTCCAAACCTCAATTATTCCTCTTCTCATTGAAATATCATACTTAATAACATGCAAATATCATCACTCCCCTTCCCTTCCCGATAGCCGCAGAAGGAAGAAAATGCCGGTTAGTGGTAGAAAAGCAAGACGCCGTACGATGGACCGCGAATCCACTATTGCCGTATTCTGCTGCACCTGTACCAAGCTCCTGGAGGGGGGAGGGGAGCGAGTAGAGGGGTTCTCACCGGCGGGGATTTGCGCTTATGAATGATTATGAAGGAATGTGGGATCCTTGCCCTTTCAACTGACTAACCAACCAACCAGATAATGATCACAAAGAATCACTCGCGCGTTCTGTTGCGCTTTACTTGCCACAGACCCTTGAACTTTGAGGATATCATAGATGGATGGGTTTAAGTGTGGCCTGCGTATGCGTGTCCCTAGGCCCCGAAAGTAAGTGGAGGAATGGGAAAGCGCTAAATCGTAGAGATGACCATCTTGAGAGTTAATTCTAAAGACAGGAGGAGGGGAGCGATGAGATGAGTGGGAGGGGACCCTCCGTATGACGCGGGGTTGTTTCAAGAAAGGGAAAAAGGAAAAAAAGGAAAATCCGTAGATAATTTAAGGAGAAGCAAGAAAAAATAACTACGATGGACTGTGCTCTACTGCGCTATACTATATGATACGCCCGCATCTCAATGCAAATGGATAAATAGATATCATCGTGACGCCCCCAAAGTTCCAAGAATCCCTTTCCTTTCCCCGCAACATCCACCCCTCCTCCCTCCCCCGGAAAAGGTCGCGAAGGGAGGAAAGAGAGAAATGCATCAAGCCACCAGTGAGTCCGGGAACCAAGCATAGGGACTGACCAGCTGACAGGCGAAAACTATAGTGGAAGAGAGAAGAGCAAGTCCCCCAGATGATGGCGAAGGAAAAAACGAAGGAAAGAGAAACAACCGAGATTACCCAGCATAGCAATATGGAACTCCATCCAAGTGCCTCCATCCGATTCCCTAACAACATATACCGCCCTTCTTCTTCTCCCCACCACGTTCACCCACGGCATCCACTCCACCCCTTCTGCCCCCGAATTCACCGGCATACCCGGGTCCGTATATCCTCTCATGATCAATCTCAGCACGGCGCTCAACGAGCTTGCGCGCAATTACCTGAAACACCTCATCGATTCCTGCGGCCACCAGACAGACGTCTATTACCAGTCCGTGCGAAGAAAAGCGGTACAATTGAGCGCAACACGGACAGAAACAAGAACTCACCTTGATCATCCCTCGCAGAGATCTCATGGCAGGTATCCATTCCCAGCCACGACGCATCCTCACTATCACCCAGATGCTCGGCGGCGTAGGCTACGCACCTATCGAAGGAAACCTCACGTTTCGAAGGGTCCGCATTGACAAGGTCCGCTTTAGTCCCAACGATATGGATGATTATGTTTTGGTTGTTTACATTCTTCTTGAGTTCGACAAGCCTTTAGAAGTAGCATTGATGGGGTATTGGTTTTTAAGTTGGCATGGGAAAAAAAAAAAAAAATGAAAAAAAAAAAATGAAGAAACCGATGTACGTGTGTATGTGGAAGGTGATGATATCAAGGGAGAAAACATGGGAAGTTGAGTGAAATTGCAAGGGGGAGAGAGGTTTTTGTTACCATGAATGCATCGCCAGGAACGAAGCTTCCGAAGTGATGTCGTAGCAAAGAATCCCACAGTTCGCGGAACGATAGTAGAGCTTCGAAATGGAGCGGTAGCGCTCCTGACCGGCGGTGTCCTGCGAAACGTAATACGATATCCGTCAGAACTGTAATCCCACAACCATGCCCAGAACATGACGAGTGTGCGCGGGGGGAAATCACCCAAATCTGCAGGGATAACCATATCAGCAACGGATAGCCACGGATAAGCGAATCACCATTGAAAACCATACCTGAAGCCTTACAAGGCAATCATCAACAACAACCTTCTTCGCTAAGAACGAAGCACCAATCGTCGATTCCGAAGCCGGATCGAAAGTATTCTTGACATATCTAACCACCAAAGAAGTCTTCCCGACACCTACCCAAGAAAGAAAAAAACCCCGTCGGAATCAGCTAATCCCATCCAGGGACCACAAAGATGAACCAAACCGACCTTGAGTTCCCAAAACAACAACCTTCGCTTCAAGGCTCATGACACCGACTAACTTATCCGAATCCCTATCGTCTGTCCGTTCGTAAAGCTATTCTTCTTATTCCCTTCCCTTCTCTCTTCCACTCTTAGGGGGCGCAGTTACGGACCGAGGGAGCGGGAAGAGGAAAGAAAGAAAGAGGAAAAAAAGGAACAAATAAAAGTAAAAATACTACCCTCGCAGAGGATACCGGCACGCTACCAAACGACGAAGAATGAGGCGGGGGTAATGAGGAACGAAAACGAGGTAAGGAGGTGGTAGTATTCGTGATGGATGGTGGTGGTGAACTCGCGTGTATGTCAAGAAGGCAAGGTGAAAGAGAAAAAAAGAATGGTCAGCAGGTTAAAATAAGAGGAGACCACCCACCGAAGGAAGGAAGGAAGGGTCGACGATTTGCCGGCGAGAAAGAGGGAGAGGGAGAGGGAGAGGGAGAGAGCGAGCGAGGGTGGTTTGGTCTTGGCGCTTAAATTGAACCCTTACTTGAAAGTGCCCCTCCAGGTCACGCCCGCCATATTGGAGTCTGAGACGTTGAAAGGATTGGGGTGTGTGGATGGATGATGTGCCGTTTTGGCTTCGGTGGCAGGTGGGTTGGCTAGGGTGCGGGATTGGATAATTGTACTATACTAAATTGCTATTGGTGATTACAACCACATCCAGTGTGAAAGGTTACCGTAGGTCACTGGTAGATATTATATAAGTCGACCGCAGTACAGTACCGGTACATATCAACCCTGATTTGTATGATATGCGTTCCAGGGAAAGGGGAACCAATAGACCAAAGTTATCGGTGAACCAGAGCACGGTACTGTACTCGAGTGAACCAAGTTACCACGCCCAGCACGCGAGAACAATAGCCTATCTCTCGAGCATGCAGCAGCAAGTACCGTACTCTACTCGTACTCGTACTGTGTCGTACCCGGGGGTGCATGAAAGTGATTAACATCTTGTGGCGTATGCGGTGCTAAATTGTGGTGCATGCCAAAGTACAGTACATACTGGTACTGTACTGGTATCATATTATCATACCCTAACAATGATCGTTTACTCGAGTAGTATCATACCGGTAGGATAGACAAGACTACCCCCCCCCCCCCCACCCACACCCTAAAACAAACCAAGAAGGAAAATTTCGTACTCCTCCTACTCCAGTATTCCGTCCAAAAGAAACCAATCAGGGCAACCCCTCCCAGCCCCTACCTGTTGTGGGTTGCACCCCCCAATTCCGCCCTTGGAGCCCACACATAAATTCCCGGCAGGCCAATCCCGGCCCCCCCTTTTGGAAAAAACCCCCCCAACCCCTCCCACTCCCTACCCCAAAAAAACAAGTCTCTTTATTCCCCCACCAAAAAAAATTTTTTTCACAAGATCCAGAACCCATGACTATAGGGATTAAATTTAGAATGGGGGGGCCTCCCCCCCCCCTCTTTTTAAAACAAAAACCCGGACTCCGCTGGAAAAATAAAAAACATCAAAAGAAACCAAGCCCAAATAAAAAACCGGCTTCCCAAGGCCCACTCCA